TCTATCGAGCCCGCGATATCAAACCCTATATTTAAGGGTATTAAATAGTCCAGACAAATCGATCCGATATGCTCGAAAATAATGACTAATTAAGCATAGGTGTTTTTTTTATATCTCACAAATGATACTTGATTTTTATAATTCATAGACCAAAAGCGCAATATTTAACAATTATTCGCCGAAGGCGAAGTGATTATCAATGAATATTTACCGAGCGGCGGTTCCGCGAGCCGCGAGGTAAATATTCATTTTGATAATCACTGCGCCTGAGGTGAATAATTGTTTTAGTATAATTTCATAAGTGAATATTCATAAAAATAGAGAAAACATCGCTCATTGAAGCGTCAAATTCGACCAATCAGCGCGCTAGAATTATGATATTCACTTATGAAATTATGTGTTGGCGCAATTTATTCAAAAACTGTAAATAAATTATTCACTTCTAAAGTTATTAGTACACGTGTTGACGAAGTTCTCCTTTTTAAATAGCTCTCTCTAATATATCTGAAGATGTCGGAAAAGGAATAYAAATACGAACGACTTACACAGACCCARACAGAGGATGAATTGGAGGATGTTGAGAAAAACTGTGCACCATTGCTTCARGACGSCCTTTTCTCCCCTAATGACGAAATTCAGCAAGCCAAAGAAATCAGTACTTGGAAGATGGTCTTAAACTTGTTAAACGGCATGGAAGGCGTTGGATTCCTTGCCATTCCATACGCTGTAAGAGAAGGAGGAATCACTGCTCTCCTTGGGATCTGCCTTCTACCTTTCATACTTGGATATACAGCAAATCTTCTCAGTGAATGTATAGATGAAAGAAATGAAACTGGACAAATCGTAAAAAGAAGGTTAACCTATCAGGAAATTGCAAAGGACTCGTGGGCTCCACTGGAAATTGTAGTGTGGACCACCAACAATATAATCTTACTGGTGTTTGCTACTTCGATTATTGTTTTTATCAGTTCTCTGATGTCACAGCAGTTTCCTCAAGTCCCCTTCTCAACGTCTCACTGGGCATGTCTTGGAACATTAGTAGTTTTACCAACAGTATTCCTCAAATCATTTTCCCACATTGCATGGCTTAGTTTGTTAAGCCTTATAGCTTTAGTAGCCGTCACTGTTCTCATGTTAGGTTTTGAGGCACCAATGCTATTTCATAGCGATTTGCGTTCAATTTTCTTTTGGGATACCCGCGGGGCTTTTGTGGCCATATCTATTTTGATATCAAGTTATTCGGTTCATCA